TACAACCCTCCGGTCGACTTCGGTTTTTCACGTACCCTTTTAAAATTTTCATATAACGTTCAGCAGGGTACATCCATCTCATATAAGCTGGTCCGCACAACTGTGTCTCTTTGACAAGATGAACGACTAGATGAACCATTATGTCAAAAAACGAGGGAGGAAAATACATTTCAAGCTCACATAAAGTAACAACCACCTCTTTTTGCAATGTTGGTAAGATCGCAGGATCGATCACCTTGCTGCAAATTGACTTGAAGAAAAAACACAACTTAGTTATTGCGCTCCTTACTTTTTCTGGCAGAATAGAACGTATACCTATTGGTAGAAAATGTTTCATTATAACATGGCAATCATGAGTCTTTAAACTCTTTAACTTTAGGTCTTTCATTGACACAAGTCTTCTAATATCTGATGAGTAGCCTTCTGGAACTTTAACTTCACTGAGGAACTTACACAATATTTTCTTCTCCTTTCTAGATAGAGTGTAAACAACAGGTGGTAGATATGTGCGTCTTCCTTTCGTCACGGGTGCCAATTCAGTTCTAATTCCCATGTTTAACATGTCCTTCCTTATGTTAATGCCATCCTTAGACTTTCCTTGTATATTGAGTAACGTACCAATAACACTATCAAATACATTTTTTTCAATATGCATAACATCGAGGAAATGTCTTACGTACAACGACTTCCAATATGGAAGTTAAAAAAAAATCGACCTCTTCTTCCACCCACTCGTGACAAGTCTATGTGCAAAAGGCTTGCCAAACTCAGTACTCACATCTTTCACCTTTTCAAAAATCTGATCACCTGTCAACATATGTGGAGCTCTACCGTGTTCTGCCTCTCCATTGAATGCCTTTCTCCACCCACGATAGTGATGATTAGAATTTAAGAATCTACGATGACCGAGAAAAACATTCTTCTGACAAAAGTTCAATCGCATCGTATCGGTTTCATCTTCACAAACAGGACACGCTTTTTGACCCTTAATGCTGTACCCTGATAGATTTCCGTACGCCGGAAAATCATTAATTGTTCCAAACAACATCGCCCTCAAGTTGAAACTTTCTTTCCTATACCCATCGTAAACCTCCACACCGGTCTCCCACAAAAACTTCAAATCTTCAACTAAGGGTGCTAAGTACACGTCTATGTCATTCCCTGGTTGTTTGGGCCCAGAAATTAACATAGATAGCATCATGTACTTACGCTTCATACATAGCCACGGAGGTAGGTTATATATCATAAGAATCACAGGCCAGGTGCTATGCGAGATACTTTGAATACCATGCGGGTTCATTCCATCAGTAGACAACGACAAGCGAAGATTTCTTGCTTCTTTTCCAAATTCAGGATAATCAATATCAACTTTCGTCCACTGTGGTGAGTCTGCCGGATGTCGCAACTTCCCATCAATAATTCTTTCATCTGCATGCCAAGTCAAGTGTCTTGAATCGGTCTCACTACGATACATGCGCCTAAATCTCGGAATTATAGGAAAATACCATAACACCTTTTCCGGAGACAACTTTTCCTTATATCGAGGGGCACCGCATTTAGGACACTCATTTAACACTGCGTACTCGTTTCGAAATAAAACGCAATCTTTTGGACATGCATGTATCTTTTCATAGCTCATGCCAATAGAGGACAACATCTTTTTGGCCTCATACGTTCGATTGGGAAGAACATTATCCTCTGGTAGCATTTCTTTCACGAGGGCTAATAACTGTGTGAAACTTTTATCTGACCATCCGTTGTCCGCCTTTAAGTTGTACAACTTTAACACCGCAGACAATCTTGTGAATTTTGTACAACCATCATACAACGGTTTCTCTGCATCGCTTACCAACCTCTCGAACATTTTGGGACAATCCTCAAGATCTTCTTCAAGCGCTTCTGCAATCTCTTCGACTCGATCATAATCGTATGCATCTGCGAAATCCTCATTTGAAGCATACGTCGTATTATAACTCGATTCAACATTCCCGCTACTTTTCTCACCATGCAAATTCCAACATGCATAACTTCTATCAATTCCATGCATCAGTAAATGCGATTCCAACTGAACCGCGTCAACCCGTCTCCCATAACAGCATCTCAAGCAAGGACATATCATTCCATTGGGTTCTCTGGCGTGCGCAACGGCAAACTTAACGAATTCTGATACCCCATCCTCATACTCTTTCGATAATCGATTGGCAGTCATCCATTTTTTATCCATGGTTTGACTATAGCAACTAATTAGTCACGCAACTATAGCAAAATAATAATTAATTACCTGTAAAGAAATTCAACATATCAGGTACTCTGAATTTTCATTATTTTATGTTTAATACTTCCATTTCAAAATTACTAGCAAGTACTCTTTGACAAGAAAAGATTAAATAGTTGATTCAAAACAATTAAACTAACCTATTACTACTCAATCCATTTATTGAGTGCTGAAAACAGATCACAGAGTAATGATCATGACTGAATCTTAAAGGGGCACAGCAGAGTCCCATCTGGAAAAAACTAACATGGCCAAGCTTTTCATTTTGATTACACCCCCAAACTTAATCATGACAGAAAAATAATACTGCAATAGTTTAAGTTCTCATAATGTTCAAATAAAATGTAACAAAGGCATCAAGAAGTCCACTGATTTAATCTGACTACACACACCATTTTGGTTATATACAAAAACTAAAAACTAAGCTCACAAAGTCACCATTGGACTATTCCTTCAACTTTAATCAAGACAGGAAAAAAACACAGCAGATTAAGTTAACAGATTAGAAGAAGCTACACAATGTTTTAAAAACGGTCATGAGCGGGACGATACAGTATTGGAAGAAGCTGTCAATACTGATATAGTTATTTACTGGTTTGATGTTAAAAAACTAATTGTGCTTAATTCATACCGCCACAACTGAAATTAGTATTGGAATATCTGTATTGATCAAAATTGCGAAAATCTTTGTGCTGACATCCACCATTATTTAAAACCTGCTCAATCCAATCACTGAATAAATCCTATCACTAGTGCTCAATCATATAACCTATACAATAATGGTAAGACCTCGGTCATATCTTTAAACTTTAAATCCAGAATATGACCTAGTGATGTATGCATTAATTCACTATGGAACAAATTCTTAAGCCTCACAATAACATGTAAATGTTTAATACCTAAGAAATGGTGGAAAAATCTAAGTCTGTCTTTGGAGTTATCAGTCTTGAAATGAAAGCACCAGAAACTTGTTGTCTTTTATCCAATGAACATGACAAAATTTTGCCTCGAATATCCCGCATTCATATTATGTAAAATAAGGATTTTACTATAAAAAGCTATATTAGGCCTGAGTTACTATAATCAGAACATACACATGGTATGTAAATGTGTCCTGATATGATTCATTATTATTAGTACATTCTGTTATACAGTTATAGAATGGAAGCAAGTAATGTTGGTTTGGATGGTTCTGTAAATTCACTAAAACTAGTTGATTATGGAGATGAATCAACTCTTATTCAATGGTCTTTTGAGATTAATCCTCTTGAAGATGTATCAGAGAACAACTTAGTGGATTATCTAGGATTTCTCTATAAATCTTGCATTAATAAGATTGAAGGTGCTGTAGAAGCTACATCAAGAAATGTGTCACCACCATAGTGAACATCATTTTATTCAAACCACAAGCTTCTTTGCAATTCATGCACTATCAGTTGAAAATCAAATCCTAAACATCATTCTATATCTCTATACCAAGTTCAAAAATGGAAAATCAAATAGCAAAAATATTACTAGTTCCTAGCTAGTTGCTTTGAGTCAGACATTACTTCCACAACACAAAACAATATTCCTCATTTTATCGAACAGTTTGCGTGCAAGATACAAAACAAGATTCCCGGCAACACAGACAAATCGAACAAAAGCAATGTATGAATGGCAAGGATTTTGAAACATACCTTTTGATACGACTCTAGACGAAAAAAGCTTCGTGCCGGCGAGGATGAGGAATCAGAACAAAAACGAGAATAGCTTCGTGCCGGCGAGAATAGTCTTTTTTGTCTCTTTTCAAGCAAACTGTCAAACAAGTGACTTGCACAAGACTTTAGTCCTTAAATTTCCTCCAAAATGGGATAAACTTCAACCATTAGCAACACTAACATCCATTTTTTTGCATAGAATGTATGATTTTTTCACAGTATCTTGACCCAATTCAAAGCTAGTAACAAAAAAAAACACCAAAAAAACTTATCAACTTCAATAGTCAATATTCAGCATTCAACAAGTAAAGAGGAATTAGCATCTGGGTAGTGAAGAATTGATGATACCTGATGATGATAACTGAGATTGATGCAAAGCGTTTCACTTCTAAGATACCGGAAATGGTGGCATAGCTAGAGGAAGACAGGGGAAGCTCGTTGTAGGTGTACTGGAAGGAGTTGATGGAGCGGAATTGTGGTTGGAAAGGGTGTAGACGGTGGGGGTGACCAACGGAGGCTGAAAAGCTTAAGACGAACGGCGGCGACGGCAGAAATGAGGAAACTCTGAACGAAAGAAATGAACAAGACTAAAGAACAGATTTAGGGATTTTTAATTTTATTATAAAAACAACCTACGAAAGCGCTTTTAAAAAGCGCTGGCATAGGGTACCCTATAAGAGCGCTTATGAGGTAAAAAGCGCTTTCGTAGGTCCCCCTATCAAAGCGCTTTTCAAAAGCGCTGGCATAGGGTTCCCTATAAGAGCGCTTTTCAAAAGCGCTTTCGTAGGTTAGATATTTCAAATACCTATGAAAGCGCTTTCTGAAAAGCGCTTTCGTAGGGAACCCTATGCCAGCGCTTTTAAAAAAGCGCCTTCGTAGGTTTCCCTTTTTTTTAATTTTGTTTTTTGTGAAGGCTATGGCAGCGCTTTTTCAATAAGCGCTTTAGTAGAGGCGCTGCTAAAACTTGTTTTTGGCGTAGTGTTTGTTCAATATCATTTTTATATATTAATGCAAATTTTATGAAGGTGGTGGAAGGGAATGGGACTAGTTCCAAGGTTAAGCTTTGGTCGTGATAGACTAATGGAATGCTTTTTTTGGGCTGTTGGAATGGCGCCATTGGAGCCCAAATACAGTGATATCCGCAAAGCTTTAACTAAAGTAGGTTGTTTAATAACTTTAATCGATGACATATATGATATTTATGGCACTTTGGATGAATTAGAGCTTTTCACAACGGCAGTAGAAAGGTATTTTTTTTAAATAACTATAAAAGAAAAATTGATCATAGTTGGACAAAAAGATCCGAGATCCAAATAAATATAAATATTAATGAAAAAACTAATAAAAGATGATGTTTGTTTCAGTTGGGATATTGATGCAGTTAAAATTCTTCCGGAGTACATGAAGATATTCTTTTTAGCACTCTACAACACTGTCAATGAATTAGCATACAATGCACTTAAAGAAAATGGACATGACATCCTTCCCTACCTCGTCAAAGCGGTAATATCAAATAACATAAATTACAAAATTAATTATACTAATAAAAATTTGATTTGGTGTTTATTGGTAAATTAAATTAATTACAGTGGTCTAATATGTTGAAAGCATTTCTACAAGAAGCAAGGTGGTGTGATGAGAAACACATGCCAAAGTTTGATGAGTACCTCAACAACGCATGGGTGTCTGTGTCTGGTGTTGTTTTACTCACACATGCCTATTTTATACTAAATCATACCACAACGAAGGAAGGGCTTGAAAACTTGGAAAATTGTCGTTTGTTATTGGAGAGACCCTCCATTATTTTTCGACTTTGCAATGATTTGGCTACTTCATCGGTACTTTTTTCTTTACCTTAACCATGCATGCATATTAACATTTAAAATAACAAATGAAAAATAATATTAATAATAATATGGGGTAAACCGATTAAACAAAGTATATATGAGCAGCCGATTGACATACAATATAGAAACCAAACAAATACAAATATATTACGAGAAAGCTACAATGCTAAAAAATCAACCATGCCACAACAAGTCATCTCCAAGAAAACTACCCTATAAAAACTGCATATCAAAAGAGGATCATGCTAAAGCTCAAGTCAGTTGGACCACGAACACCGGATCAAATGCTACTAAAGAAAGAGCAAAGAAACACAAACACTCTCAATATGGCCGAAATATCGATTTTCTGTTGATTAATCCAAAGGATATGATTTTCAAGTAAATATGTGAAGGTGCAAGAGTCCTCCCGATCTACCAAAAAAATCATTTCCAAGCAAAAGAAATACTTATCTCATCCTCTTCTTTCATATTTGTTGTAGAACTAGAAAACACAATCTCAATTCAAACCTTTCATATGGTACATGCCAAATCATGCTAAATCATCGGAAAAAAACCCCATAGACCTCTCCCTACCAATGAAAGAAAGGAAAATCTCAAAGATAAGACTAGGTTTCTTGGGAAGAACTATTTGCCATCCGAACAAGATAAAAATCTTATACCATATAGTGTTAACGAAGTTACAAGGGATAAACAAGTGAGAAGCTTAATTGACAAAAACAACGCAAATAAGAAACATGGTAAGACCAGAGTCAACAATCACCTTTCTCTTGAATAAATTCTCTCTAGATAAGAGCTTATCAAAGAGAAGCTTCCAAGAGAAAATAATAACCTTAGAATGTGCTCAAACTACCCCAAAAAATGGAGAAGAGACAAATTACATGTGGAGGAGGAATGACTTAAAAATTAGAAGAACCCATAAGAGAATGATAACAATAGGAAACCTATAAAGTATCATCCATAGAAATATTCCAAATCCACTTATCTTTGTCCAAGAAAAAAATATTCCCTTGAATGACTGAGAGGAAATCAACAAGAATTAGTTCCTCTTGAATGAAAAAGGGCTTCATCCACCGAAAGTACCAAATGAGAGTCTCATCTATCCACCCACCAATCTCTTCCATGCATTTCTCAATATATTCAACAATTGTAAACAACCTAGGGAACCTTTATTTAAGGGATACACTCCCAAACCAGTGGTCAGATCAAAAAGATGTATGAAGCCCTAATTTAACCTTCCTAGAGATATCATCCCTAAATCAGATAGAGCAGTCTTCCTACTTAGCACCAAGAAGGGAAACTCCTTTCCCCCAGTGAGAAGAATTTCTAGAAGCCCAATTATCTATCTCCCCTTAAAGAAGAGACAATATAAGCACCACATAGGGAAGCAATGATATGTCTTCAAATACCTGAGGCACTTGAGATAAGACACCACCTCCTCTTATCCAAAAGATCTAAGTTGACCAGACAAAGATATCTAGCCCCAAAGCCACCTTTACTCTTTGGCTTACACACATCAAGCCAACTAATCCATGAGAAGTTAGACGCACCCTTAATGCCAACCCCACATAAAATTTCTTTGAATGATAACTATTTTCCTCAAAACCTTTAAGCATGAAATTGAGCAACACCATTCCCCCTAAGATATGCTTTTAGGAATAAACATCATCTGCTATTAGAAAAATTGGGTCCAAAAATCTCTACAGATAAAATTATTAAGATAAGAGTATCATTTACATACTGAAGATGAGACGCCATCAAATCTGAGACTCCTATCATAAATCATATACGAAGACCTAACTCAATAGCCCTACTAATCAAATCAATTAACCCTTCATCCATAAGCAAGAAAAAAAATTATATTTTAATTGATATGAATTATCTTTTATTTCTATATTTGGAGTTTTAATTCCAAATGATCATAGGTTTTATATGGAAAAAATTGTGGTTTATGTTTGTGACATATCATTTTTTTAATAATGTGAAGTTATATTTGTTATGTTTAGCTTTGTGATCCCGTATTATTTTAAATATAATTTTGAATCCCTATTATTTAAAAATAAAAATTTAATATTTTTTTGAAAGTTTATTATTTATTTTTTAATTTGTCATATAATTTTGTAGGCGGAGTTACAAAGAGGTGAAACTGTTAATTCAATTACGTGTTACATGAAAGAAAATGGTGTTAGTCAGATGGTTGCTCACAAATACATCCATAATTTTCTTAATGAAACTTGGAAGAAGATGAACAAAGATCGAGTTACATATTCAACTTTTCCAAAACATTTTCTAGAAACATTAACCAACCTTGCTAGAATTTCTCATTGCACGTATCAATATGGAGATGGGCATGGAGCTCCTGATACCATATCAAAGAATCGAATAAAGGCCTTAATACTTGAACCCGTTAATTAAATATTTTTGTTATTAATCAATATATGAATATACATATATTTGTTGTTGGAAATTCACCAAATATCTATAATGAATTTCTCCCACAATGACAATTTAATTATGAGACAAATAAAGAAAAGAAGACAAGACAAATAATTTCTGCAAAGTTTCTCTCTACTCACAAACTGTGAAAACTTTCTTATTCACTTTGCAACTGCAAAATATTGTCAATGAATTGCTTGAATTGCTTACAAAAATAGGGGTTACTCTCTCTATTTATAACTGAGTTTGCACCCTAAGCCCAAAGCCCAAAATATCTATTTTGTTACTAAATCTAATCTAATCTATTCTAGATTTAAATTAAATCTATTTAAATCTAAAACAAATAAAATCTTTTTGACACATAGTTTCGACACACTGAATTACAATTTAACACACCACCTAATTCATTGTGTCTAAACTATCTATATTCATCATGGCTCTTAGTCTTCTGAATACTTCGACTTGCACTCCCTTCGTCATGATGTCTGCAATCTGATTCCCAGTTCTACAGTGTTCCAAATTCATCTTCCCATCTGCTACCTTCTCTCGAAGATAATGGAACCTCATTTCGATGTGCTTACTTCGATCATGTGCTATTGGGTTCTTCGTCAAATTGATAGCTGAAATGTTGTCGATCTTCATGGTAATTGGTCAATGATCTTTCCCTGTTATCTCTTCGACCAAGTTCACCATTCAAGTTGCTTGACATGCACAAAGAGAAGAAGCTATGTATTCTACTTCGCATGATGATACTTTCACTACTGGTTCCTTTCTCGAACTCCAAGCAATTGGTGCACCACCTAGCATAAACACATAGCCTGCTATTGATTTTCGATCTTCAGCATCACTACACCAACTCGAATCAGTGTATTCCACTAACTTGCATTCTTTTCCTTTATTAGTTGCAGGAAACAAAATGCCATAATCGAAAGTTCCTTTGAGATACCTTAGTATCCTCTTCACTGCTTCTAGATGTGATACCTTTGGCTTTTGCATGAATCTACTTACCATACCTACACTGTATACTAAGTCATACCTTGTATGACAAAGGTATCTCAATGATCCAATAAGTCTTCTGTATTGGGTTGGATCAACATCATCTTCATCTGCATCTTTCAATAGTTGCAGTCTTGGTTCTGAAGGTGTCGAAATTGAGTTGCATTCTTCCATCTCAAACCTATTGAGAATTTCTCCTGCATATCTTCTTTGATGCATCATCAAACCTCTACTGGTCTTGTAGAATTTGATACCAAGGAAATATGAAATCTCACCTAAATCAGACATTTGGAATTCCTTGTTGATATCACCTTTGAAGTCTTCAATCTTACTCTTGCAGCTATCTGTTATCAACAAATCATCTACATAAAGACATAGTATAAGAAATTTACTCTTGCTTCTTCTTACATATACTCCATGTTCAGTTGTGCACTTCACAAATTCCTTCTCCCTTAGGAAACTATCAATTTTCTTATTCCAAGCCCTTGGAGCTTGTTTCAATCCATACAGAGCTTTATGCAGCCTGTACACCTTTCTTTCTTCGTCATGTTTCACAAATCCAACTGGTTGTTTAACATAAACTTCTTCTTCTAAGGGTCTATTTAGGAATTCACACTTCACGTCCATCTGACATATGTGCCAACTGTTTATTTCTGCTAGACCAACAACCAACCTGATTGTTTCGATCCTAGCAACAGGTGCAAAAACTTCATTGAAGTCTATTCATTCTTTCTGTAGAAATCCTTTCGCCACAATCCTTGCTTTGTGTCGAGTTACTTCCCCTTTCGAATTTGTTTTCACTTTGTATACCCACTTGACATCAATTTCCTTCTTGCCTTGAGGCAATTTGACAAGTGACAAAGTGTTGTTGTCTTTGATAGACTTCACTTCTTCGTTCATTGCTTTCACCCACTTCGAATCCTTCAATGCTTTAGCTGCATTAACAGGTTCGACATTTGCATAGAAAGCATAATGTACCAGCTCACCTTCATTATCTATTACATCATCTGATGTAATCACACAATCTTGCAATCTTGCAGGCATGCGTCTTATTCTTTGAGGCCTGCTTGTACTTTGTATACCTGTTGGTTTCTCTTGTCGAACTTCTCTTTAGACTTGAGTTTCTGGATCTTCAAGTAGGATTCCCACTTAATCTTTCTTGACATTATCAGTCCAATCCCATTCTTTAACCTCATCTATGATCACGTCCCTGCTGATCACAATCTACTTTTTCACTGGATCAAACAACTTGTAGCCTCCTATTGAATGATATCCAACTAGAATCATTTGACTTGACTTGTCATCAAGTTTTCTTCTCAACTGACCTAGCACATGTCTATGTGCAATAGATCCAAATACCTTCATATGACTCAAGCTAGGCTTCACACCTGACCAACATTCTTCTGGAGTAATTCTTTCTAGCTTCTTTGTAGGACATCTGTTCAAAATGTATGTTGCAGTCGAAACAACTTCACCCTAAAACTCTTTAGGTAAATTCTTGTCTTTCAACATACTTCTCACCATATTCATAATGGTTCGATTCTTCATTTCTGCAATTCCATTTTGTTGTGGAGTATAGGGTGGCACCACCTCATGCATAATCCATTCCTTTTCACATAGCCTGTCAAAGTCTTTCAACAAATATTCTCCACCGCCATCAGTTCTCAAAACTTTGAGCTTTCGACCACTTTGTCTTTCGACAATAGACTTAGACTTGGTAAATACTTCGATCACTTCACTTTTCTTCTTGATCAGGTAAGTCCATAGCTTTCGAATAAAATCATCTATGAATGTAACAAAGTATTTGTTACCTCTCATTGAATCTACCTGGATTGTTCCACATACATCAGAGTATATGACTTCAAGAATAGCCTTCGATCTGCTTCCTGCATCCTTGCTGAAGCTATTCTTGTGTTTCTTCTCCTGCACACATTCCTCACATACTTCGTTTGGAATGTCAATTTCAGGCAATCCTGAAACCATATTTTTTCTCTTCAAATCTTTGATGTCTCTGAAGTTTAGATGGCCTAGTCTATAATGCCATATCCATTGATCTCTACTAGCTGCAATCAAAAGACACTTGTGCTCCATCACATTTAATTCAATCTTGAAGGTTCAATTCTGAGACATATGAGCCTTCAAGATTAATCTCCTATTTGCATCAACGGCTCTCATCATCTTATCTTTGATTGAAACTTTATAATTCTTTTCAACCAACTGCCCTATACTGAGCAAATTGCTCTTCATGCCTGGTATGTATAACACATTGGAGATTACTGACTTTTTTCCATACTTCCTCATAATCATAACATCACCAATACCTTCAGCTGCTAGGGTATTGTCATTTGTAAATTTTACCATATTTTTCATTTAGGGCTTTATATTGACAAACCAGTATTTCCTTCCAGACACTTATGATGAGCATCCTGAGTCCAAGTACCATTGGTCCTTGAATCTATCTTCATCTTTTGTCGTGACCATCAGCATCATCTCTTCTTCTTCATGTTTTGCAAGCTTGGCCAAATCCATATTCCCTCGTGTGTTTTACTTGGAATAATTTAAAACACATTCTAAACATAACATATGAACTATCCAAACCTTTCTCAAGCAACTGTAACTTCATTTTCAAGCTTCACCATTTTCAATTTATGAGTTTGCAGGTTGAGTTCTATAGAGAGATTCAGGCCATTTCAAAGCAAGCTAAGCATTGGGAAAGGTCAAGGGAACATCAAGCAAGCTCAAAAGACCTTCAGGCCTCATTCCAAGTTGCTACATTGCCATATTTGAACTTGACTGAACCAGGTAATTTTCAAACTTCTATCTCCTTATTTAGGCATCATTAGGCTTAGGTTTGTGAAGGAAAAATGTAGTCCTTAAGTTCCTTGAACTGTACATATGCATAGCTTGTATTTATATTAACTGAGCTAGGAGAATTTGGATGATGAACATGCTGAAAAAACTAGGTCAGAATTTAGGGCCAATGAAATTCTCTCTGGTCTTTGAGAGTTAGATCAAGTTTTTTATATCATTAGAATCGTGTGATGATGAACTATAACTTTCATGTTGCAAGATTTTGTTTTTAAGCACGTATGCAGGAGTTACAAGTTTGTACATGACGCACGCGTTTTTTCTGTCTGAAGGTTAGGGACGAAGTGAGACATGGGTTGGGCCTGGCTTGCTTGACTTTTGACACCCCCTACTTACTTTTTGCACCCCCTTGGCCCATTTATTATATTTTGTATTATTTTTCATTTCTTTTGTGATTTTTGACTTTATTATTTTTTTCTAAAATATTAAAAATCACCAAAAATATTTTCTTAATTTTTACATTTTTATTTTGTTATTTTTATTATTTTTTATGACAAAAAATGGTTTATTAGGTTAAATACTTTTATTTTTCTAAATAAAATTTGTAAATAATACAAAAATATTAGATATTTTTATTTTTATCATTTGTACACTTAAAATAATATTTTCTCACATATTTTATTTTTTAACATTTTTATATATATTTTTTATTTATTTTCTTGTACATAAATGAAATAAATAAATAATATAGAATATATTTTCTTTTAAATAAAAAATTAGGGTTTTCACCCTTTCAAAAATAATCATCTTTTATTTTCTTTTTTTAAGACATTAAATAAATTTATTTTACATACATAAAAATTAATACAAAAAACATTTTGCATATTTATATTTAATTTGTCCATTTAAATATTTGCTTATTCATTTATTTGTACAAATAAATTCAATATGGTTGTAATAGTTTTAGGGTTTATTTTGAGCAATACCCCATATTCAAGCTTGTATCCCCCTCCCCATAATATTGTGTAATAGTCTTAGATTTACTTTGCGCATTTATTGCTTTTATATGCATGCCTAGTAAATTAGGGTTTGTATGATAACCAAAAAATCAAAACAAATAGCATGATCTAACACAAGACAAAAATGCATGAAAAATGACAACACAATGCGCACAA